AGATTATTTTTTCACTTTTTGGTAGCCTATATTTATATATTAATTAAATAAAAGTTCCTTTATGATCCATTATTATATTTGTGTACAAAATACAATTAGTAAATAAATGTTGCACATCTGGATTTATAGGTGACACGTATAATTTCAACGAAATTACAATAAAGAATAAGTGCTTTTCTAGAGTGTTTGTGATACATAGTTCAGAATAAATTTAATAGAGGTCAGGACAAACAGGATTTCCAACTCCATCTAGCGAGCACTAGCTGTCACAATAACATGAGAACAAATTCAGCCAAATAATTAAAAATATAAAAAAAGACATGGTTTGCCCAAATGAACTCAGAGAAGTAATTTTTGAAAAATGATGGCACCTGAGTTATCATGAAATTAACATCAGTGAGTTCAGTTTGTTTTACTTTAGATGGTTTTTCCTGTTTAAAGACAAACAATGAATTATCTACCCAATATAGCAGTAGTTTCTGGCTCATGATACAAATATTTCTTGGGAGGTGTGTAGAGACCTTTCAAGGGTACACAAAAACCTTTGAAAAATATTGAAGGAAAATAAATCCTCAGAATTGGAGGGTAGTCTTGTTGTATTACTAACATATTCCACTAGACAGCATTGACTCACCTTTAAATTATTTATTTCCTTTTCCTTTTTATTAATACAAACTATTCAAGTTCTTCTTAAAATTATATACCTCAGGGGTATACTACGGGTTCAAAGGTCTGGGGGTGTGCAGTATAAAGAGGTTGGGAAACACTGTAATATAACATCATTCACAACAAGGACAAATTATATGATACGCAACTCATAAGTGTCGAGGAATAGAAAATCTGTTTATGGACTGTGAAAATAGCTGTTGAAACAAATTTGTTTGAACCAAAAAATGTGCTGAAACACAAAATGTTGGAGATTTTAAAGTGAATCCTGTAAAAGCCAGTAAATGATAAAATGAGATCAAAAAAGAAACTTTAGGAAAACGACCAATATGGATTAAATCACAGGTTTCAGTAGGGGAAACAACTAAGTTTACAGGCTAACTTACCAACAAGTTGTGCCTGAGCTTCAACTTCAGAAGGAGACCCGTGAAATTCCAGAAACAACGTAGGTAGTTCCTTGTAGTTCAGCTTATTATAAGAGTTGCAGGCAAACATAGAAACTTCATCCATCAACTCTGCAACGCAAAAACTGAAGTCAGATTGTTTTACGTAAACTGCTATCTTTCAACTATGAAAATCATTATAATGTATAATTGTTGAAATAAAACTGCACCAGTGAATATGGTTTAAAATTAACAAGCAATCTATTTTTGACACGTGGTGAGGTATCCCATCAGATCCAGAAATCCCAAAGCCTACATGTGAGGTATATGGTTGTATAGAGCATATACACTTGTACACTTTGCACCACACTGAATCGTCTTTGTTCTCTTGTACACTTTGCACCACACTAAATCGTCTTTATTCTCTTGTACACTTTGCACCATACTGAATAGCCTTTGTTCTCTTGTACACTTTGCACCAAACTGAATCGTCTTTGTTCTCTTGTACACTTTGCACCACACTGAATCGTCTTGTTCTCTTGTACACTTTGCACCACACTGAATCGTCTTGTTCTCTTGTACACTTTGCACCACACTGAATCGTCTTTGTTCTCTTGTACACTTTGCACCACACTGAATCGTCTTTGTTCTCTTGTACACTTTGCACCACACTGAATTGTCTTTGTTCTCTTGTACACTTTGTACCACACTGAATCGTCTTTGTTCTCTTGTACACTTTGCACCACACTGAATTGTCTTTGTTTTCTTCCTCATTTGAGAGAAAGTCATCAGATATATCAGTAAGTTTCCCACTCCTGTACAAGGTTCTTTTTAGGTGCTTGATAGTTTCTCCTTCTCGGCTGAAGTTTCCTTGACCTCTCTTACGGTTAACTTTTTGAGTAATTGGTTTGCCACTGTGATTGAGTCCACAACTGCTACACATGTAACACTTCAAACATTTTGCTACTGTACATTTTAGGATTAGCTTTGATTCTGACAAGAACAACTGCTCAGAGATTCTGGCTCATTGTCTCAGTAGTTACTCACAGACTTCACAACAGCTTAGGAATGGTGAGTTTTTCACAGATGTATACTACAACACCGCAACCACCTTGTAAATTAAGGTACAAAAACACCAACTCTTCTGACAAAAAAAAACAATAGTAACTTCTTTTGATGTTATCCAATCATAGATTGGCATACACCTCTGGATTCCTCATAAAATAATGCATATTCCTGTACATTTTCGGAAAACAAAGTGAAATGCTGGATACGGTTCCTATAAAGTGTGCTCTACCATTTCTGTTGTTGTTGAGTCAGTGACTGCTTGTTAAGTTTTTCTTCATATTTAGATACTTATTTCACGTTAAGGAAGGGATGATGGCAGTATTCTCATGTTAATGAAGTTATAGTATTGGTATTCTTATGTTAAGGAAGTTATAGTAGTGGTATTATCATGTTAAGGTAGTTATAGTAGTGTGGTATTCTCATGTTAAGGTAGATATAGTAGTGGTATTATCATGTTAAGGCAGTTATAGTATTGGTATTCTCATCTTAATAAACTTATATTAGTGGTATTCTTATGTTAAGGTAGATATAGCAGTGTGGTATTCTCATGTTAAGGTAGATACAGTAGTGGTATTCTTATGTTAAGGTAGATATATTAGTGGTATTATCATGTTAAGGTAGTTATAGTAGTGTGGTATTCTCATGTTAAGATAGATTTTGTAGTGTGGTATTCTCATGTTAAGGTAGATATAGTAGTGTGGTATTCTCATGTTAAGGTAGATATAGTAGTGTGGTATTCTCATGTTAAGGTAGATATAGTAAGGTGGTATTCTCATGTTAAGGTAGATATAGTAGTGTGGTATTCTCATGTTAAGGTAGATATAGTAGTGTGGTATTCTCATGTTGAGGAAGATATAGTAGTGTGGTATTCTCATGTTAAGGTAGATATAGTAGTGTAGTATTCTCATGTTAAGGTAGATATAGTAGTGTGGTATTCTCATGTTAAGAATGATAATCGAGGTGTTCAAAAACTTGGAATTTTAGACTGGATATTGCTTGAAACTTGGTTAGAGCTACACAATGGGCTATCTGTGCTTTGCCCAGCACGGTATCGAAACCTGGTTTCTAGCATTGTAAGTCTGCAGACATACCGTTGCGCCACCGAGTGGCAGTTAAAGCTAATAAATACTGCGAGTTATAATTAACCAGAGTTTGGCAATGTTGTATTATTAAGTACTTTTGGGGAAATTAAAAAAATTATAAATCTCCTGGGCCAGCTAATATTTCCTCAAGGGTTTTAAATGAGGTTAGGGATTGGATATGTAAGCCCCTTGCTATATTTTTTGTAAGTCCTTGAATAGTGAGCAGGTGCCTTAGAATTAGAAGTTGGCTAATATCACTCC